AGCCGCTTTTATCCAGAGGGGCTACAGCGCGATGAAAGCGTGAACGGGAGGCGAGGGATCGAGCACAGTGTCTGTGCCGGGGACCTGCAAGGCGAGGGAGCAGGGGCTGGCGCCTGGCAGTCCCCCCTCGCCCGGCCTCTGGCACAGCACAGAAGGCCCCACGTCCCTAGCTGGTTTCATGGGTGGCTTTGGGTTGCACGAGATTGAGCCCCGATCTTTCACCTCTCCTAACCTGTGCCCTTGGGCACAAAGCTTACATGAATGCATTAATGAACACTGTGAGCATCAAGATAAGAGCAAGCACAAATTTGACAATCATTTGGGCATACAAACCAGCACTTGCACCTTTTATATATATGAGAGAAAACTTTAAGCCTCACACACATTCTGATTATTTGTTATGTGTTTCAGGACTTGCTTCCCCTTGAGATGTTATATAGCTTCTAAAATCTCCTTATTCCATCATTTAAGAGCCTAACAAAGGGATACAGTCTTCCCCAAAGGAGCAGGAACAAGGGGATCCCTCCCCTAACAGTCCAGAACATGACAGCAGGCAGGGAAAGACTGCGCTGTGATCCCTGTGCTCTGAACGGGGCCCAGAGCTGGACTGCAGAAAGCTACATTTGAGTAGAAACTGCAAAAACAGAGGGGCACAGGTGGTAACTCCGAATTGGAGCAGAGGGACAGGGGAATCCCAGTGCTCTACATTCCCCAAACTCTCACAGGATCTTAACCAGCTTCTCAGCTACCAGCAGGGAACCTCACTGGAAAGTCAGCAAAATTATCAGTCAAGAATCAGACACCTAGCAAGGGGCTGCTGCTAGAAAAGAAAATACTTCTAAGGTTTGGTTTCCATCTAATACAGCTGTCAAACCTGGTATGTCTATGGGGAAAATCACTGAAGGAGGAGACTAAAAAAGGAGAGAATTCAACAGAATGAACAGGGTTGGAAATATTGCCGAGGAAGCACTGTTGTTTCAGGGTTATGGTGACAGTGTCATTTCTTTTTGGCTTATTTGGTGTTTAAAGATATGTCCATTTATAATTTCTTGATAATAAAATACCTATTAGTATTTTCAAACATAAAAGTTGCTTTATCTTTGGCTTTACCATTCAGAATGAAGAACCAACAAGCAGCAAGTTCCTTTTAACACTTTTAGGGTAAAAGCATTTTGTTTTGTCAGAACTAGCCAGTTCTGACATACAACTAACTTGTATGCTTATCAGTTTACAGGTCAAACAGGTGTATGCAAAAATACAGAAAAAATGTTTACATTCACACACCTTCCTCAAAAAACTAACACACCTATGGGACTTCTTACATAATTTTACATAAAAAAAAAATCTGTCAAATGCTGCCTGTATTCTAAGGGTACCTGTAATTCAGGGTAGAGTTCAAGCTAAGTGAATTTTCTTTTCCTGCTGAGAACTATTATAAGAACACCTATTTTTATTTTCCCCCCAAGCCTTTCTAGTTTATTAAAGGATGCATAACATTGATGCATCTTTTGAGTTTTTACAACAGCACAGTGAGCAAGAAATTGAAAAGCATGTCAGCTGTTTGAACAAGTTACTTTCTACTAGCATCAGAAGCCAAAATACTTGATTTTGGTTTAACCTTAAAGTGCACAGAGAATTTTGAGTAGTACTTATAGTTTACTCCCTTAAACAATAGGTACAAGACTTTCACATATACAGCCTCTCAATATTTTATGTTTACTCAGACACCTATCTCCTTTAGTCAGGAAAGTCCACAGAAAACAACAAAATCTAGCAACACAAATATTGATTTCTTTTATAAACTCAATTAGATCTCCAGTCTTCAGCTGTGAGGGGTCAGACTCAGGGGTGTTTGAAAGTGGCCAGAGTAAACAAGAACACCTGAAAGAGGGTCTTAAGTCTCAGTATTTCAGCTTAAATCATAAAAGAAGACATAAAGCAGCCATCAATACAGTTTTGGTAGATAAAAGTTACATAAAAATTAAAGCACATAATCACTTGCACAAGACATCAGTTTTCACAGCAAAAAGCCCTTGCATTTCTGACATTAACTCACAGCCTCTGTAGTCTGCATTTAGCACAGTGTGAGGAGCCATAGGTTTTTTGGCACCATGGTAGCCCTTTCCTAACTAAGATGTATTAGTTCAAGTACATCTTATTTATGAGTCCGTCAGCACAATATCGTAACAGTAAGAACCAGCGAAAAAAAAAAAAAGTATTGTGATACAAAAACAACTGAAAGATGGAGCCAAAGTGATTTCATCTCAGTCAGAATCAGAAATTAAGGGAACTCATGTTCACAGGTATCTCAGTGAAGTTTTTTAAATGAGATTTATAGCTTAAAGACTTACTAGCATCTTAAATATTTGTCTTCTCTCAGCTCTCAGTTTGTCTCAAATCCAGAAAGCAGAAAGAGGGAGGTCCAATAAGATTCCACTTTGGCAAAACTAGCAAAATTGACAAACACCACAGCTAGGAATAGAAGATAATCTCTAGAAAAAAAAAAAAAAAAAGGGAGATAATGCCTGGATGGGAGCAGCACTTGGCATGCACGCTGAGGTGAACCACCTAGCTCTGCCTCTTCTCAATTAGCTCACAATCCCACTGGTGCAAAAAACACTAAGCCAACACGGTTTAGGTATAAAGTATTTAGCCCTTGGCAATACAGATCACATGGCCAAATGTTGTTTCTTCCTCCTGCCAAACACTAACGCTCCTGTTGTGGTTACACATAAACCGACTCCAAAGAAAAGCTTTCTTTCTTAACAGAGGAAAGTAAAAGGCAGATCGTTAAGCAGAAGAAAAACGTTGCATTATCTTTTGTAACACCAATAGCAATTTGTCAGGAACATCAATTAAACCAAAATATTAATTGCACTAAAAAAAGGCTTCTAGGACAAAACAATAAAAGATTGTCTTAGTCTCCAAAACACTTAATCTCCAAACCAATCCTTAAAAGCACCATTTAACTAAAATTAGTAGGAAAGAAAAAGCATCTTACCTTTTTTTGAAGGACAATAACCAGGTACTGCAAAACAACTGTTACCGACGCTCCTTGTTCCACAGGTTATGAAGAGTTTTTACTAATTTCATTCCATAAAGCAAAAACCTAAACTAATCCATGCAGTGGAACTGCATGATAAGTCAGAGTATAAAGCACATATCAGTAGGTACATTTGTGAAACTTAAATGCAAACACTTCGTACCCCTGCTCAGCACATACGGCTCCCTCAGACTAACACTGCAGCACGCGAAAGGAGCTGCAAACCAGCTTCCTGCTTCTTTAACTGATTGACTAATTAAGACCATAATCAGTAAAGCATTTACTCCTGGAGGCAACACTCTCCTCTGGTGAGCTTTTCCCTTTATAGCAAATAAACATTTCATGTTATTTTGAATTTTAATCAGCATTTCAGGTAACAATGTTTAACAAACATGTTCAAGAGTTAGTTTTGTTCCCTTTTTTTTTTTTTTTTTACAGGGGTAGAGGAGCACATAAATTCAAATAAGTTGTTCAATGAAACAAACTTCTTGCTAGCACCACAGAGCATACTACGACATCAGAAAGCCAGGACTTAATCATTCGCCAAGATTACTTCTTCTTTCTTTTTTCTAGATCCAAACAAAAACACCCAAATGGGTAAATAACCTGTTATTTATTCATCTAGATTCTCCTACTGGTCTTGCAAAGGGACATGCAAGTACAACATAAGCCAGATTCAACGGTTCCTTCAGACCACATAGAAGTTTGTTTAATTAATATTAGGATTTTATAAACAGCAAATTTCTGGCCCAGTTCTTGGAACAGAACAGTCTCACTATTGGATAATTAGCAGTATTGCCACTGTATAAATATAAGAATCTGAACTTCTTGGGGAAAAGGAGATTAAAAGAAAGTGAAAACAAAATATTCTTATTCCAACACACATATTTGCAACTCTCCAATATAGTACACATTGAAAATCATAAAAAAGATGCTGGAAGTGATTTTCAAGTGACTACAAATGTTTTTCAGGAAGGCTGAACCACTGACTCAAAATCATTCAAGACACCATACTTGAAAACAATTTTCCCCCTTCTAGGCTTACTCCATCTCCTCATTCGTATTGTTCTCTCACTAAGAAGCAATTATAAGTTTTCCAATATTTAATTACAATGGGAAAAAACAACAAAATACAAGTTTTTATTGTACTTCAGACTGCAAATATCCATTACTTTAGTTTTTTCATTTCCTTTGAATTTAAGAAAAAGTGACAAGTAAAACAAATTACAGTGAAAACTAACAGAAACATGGACTAATTTCAACAACTAAAGTCGAAAATTCAGGGAGGATTTTGCCAACTTTCAGTGTCTAATCCTGGCAGATGCCATTCCTCACAGAAGTGCTGCATTCCTAGAACGAACTAATGCCCTTCAGTAATACAGAAAGTCAGTCACCTAGACAAGGCAGGACTTATAAGAGACCAAGGATTAGCATCTCCCAACATTGGAGTAAACAGAAGCATTTTGGATCCTCTGACCAATTCAGAGCTCATCGTGTTTTGCAGGGTCCATACTGGGTTTGATGAAAATTCCTTCCATTGCTTTCCAATAGTTGTGGTGATTAGGAGCAGCCATGCCATGAACTTCCCGTTGGCCTCTAATCGGATGCCCATACTGCTCCCCAGTTATTGAAAGGAACACGTCAGTTCCTACGTGTTTGAAGCGCACGGCATCATCCCGCTCCCAGTGTGTCCCACTGCACTGCACAATCCATATATCCAGGTCATCTCCTTCACCATCATCACCAAAGGCACTTACTTCCTGTTAGAGACACAAACTTCCTCAAGTGAAAATGTAAGGAAATACCCCAGGGCACACACAAAAACATCAAGCGAAGTCAGTAGAAAGTTTAAAGACAAAGAGGGAGAGGAAACATAAGGTGTCATCACACTGCTTCATATGGAGCCGTCAAATTCAGAAGCAACTAACTTACTCCCCTTACAAGCTGAACACAAAGCACAAACCTCATTACAAATGAATTACAATTAAATAAAAGAAAGCCTGTGAGCACGGACATCAGAACAATCCTTCAGGGAAAAAAAAAATCAAAACAAAACTGATGTTGATACAGCTTGCAGTCTTTGCACTACATAAAATTTATAACTGCAGACATATTATTTTGTAGTACAAACTACATCATATTTATAATTGCAATAGTTTCTCAGCATAATATGTTTTTACTCCAAAATTCCAACAGTTTAAGTAATCATATTCTTTTTTTTTTTACTTAATTATACTGAGCTTTCAATTGAGTGATCAACTTTTTTTTGCAGTCTTCCTTCAAATAGTTCAATTACACTTAAAAAGAACGTTCCATTAAAGCAAATGAATTTCTGCTAAAACAAAAATCACGGATTAGATTTCATTATGCACAAAAAAAGCAAAAAAAAAAGCTCCTTAAAAACATTCCAAGATGCACTTAAGACATATGCATAGACACATTTTTTTCAGGCAGCTGATACCCAAGGTGGAATTGTCAAAACCATGAAAACCTGTGGAGAAGTATTGTTAATATCACGGACAATTTAAACAAAAGTTTAACATTTAGGATAACTCACTTGGTTATTGGAGAGTGGTGATGGGAAGTGATGAGTGTGCAGGTTTTTTCCCGTGTTAACGTGGGTGAGCCGTACAGCTTGCCCACATTTCACCGGTGTTCCTCGCTGGCAGCTGCCATCGCTTTTCCCACGAATCCGCCAGTAACTGTTGGCATCATCTGAAGCTTCGACTCCTGTCACTGACTGCTGCCCGCTTCCTGTTTCAAAAGGATTAAATAGCGGGAGGATTAACCCACTTTTGCAAGTACAAAAATTTCTGAAACACACTACGAGAAAGAGTATTTCAGTCTCAATAGATTCCTTGTTTTATACGGTCTCTAATTCTGTATCCTTATCTGTGCTGCAAAGTAATAAACAAATTGAACTGAAAAGAGGAAGAAAAAAATGTTGGTATCTAAAGAAATCTGCCTTTATGTTTTCACACATTCACGATCAGAGGCGCTTAGCTGTCACAGCCCACACGCTGACGGCAAGGGGAGCGCAGGTACCCCGGGACTTTAGAGCAGAGCGTGTGTTTGGAGGTGCAACTGTCACAGTCACAGCGCACACACAAGTTCCGGCCGTGAAGAACTATTGCAAACAAGGCACTCGGCGGCCTCTCCCCTGCCGGAACGGGGACGAGGAGGCCCCCGGAGGCCCGTCCATCCCCGTGGCGCAGGGTCACCGCAGGCAGGAGGGCAGAGCGCGCCGGTCGCGCTGCGCGGAGCCCTTCCCTCAGCCCGGCCCCGGCTCCCTTCCCTGCGCCGCTTTCCTGCCGGCCTGACGGTTACGCAGGAGCCC